TTTACTGTTTCCTCTTTCCTAGATTCATTCTGCAACAATATATTCAATAGAAAATTTGTAATTCAAATATGATTCTTTCTCATGAAGAAGGGTCATTGATTTAGAAGTTGACTATTTGATCTGACAATGTGTGACATTGTTCCAGAGACTTCTACATTTTTAATCATGTACATTCAATGCAACATCAAAAACTCCATCAATTAAGAAAAGTTTAGTAGCGTTCGCATGTAATATAATTAAATAATTGTTGTAATATTCTTTCTTATATCATAATGAATCTACCATTGAAGATAAAGATGTTCGAGTCAAAAGTTGATAAGAATATTTTATAATCGATAATTGTATTGTGTCTCTTACATAATGATATACTACTCAATGGATTCAATACAATAATTGTTGATCTAAGAAAAAAATCTTGAATACATTCCTTTAGCCTCCTTTTATTGCAAAAATGAGATGTTTTCGAAACTATGCCCTTTTTAGGACTGATTTTCTTGAAGAAAAGAATATTTTTCAAACGCGGCTGAGATCATTATTCTTATTGTGTTTTCCATCAGGAAAACGATTAGATTTCATGGAGTCTGCTATCATTTAGGTGGATATTCTGTAGTAATAAACTCAAAATATAGGGCTTAAATAAGCTTGTATAGAAATGAGTTTGATTCATCTAATATATGAAGAATGTATCAGAATATTGCGAAAGAAATAATTGTGTAAGAGAAGTGTGTGAGTGGGTGGGTGTGAGTACGGGTATCAGTGTGAGCATTCATTTTCTGTATACTCACATCCTTACCTACCTATACCCACACCAACATCCACACTCACCTACACCCCACACCCACACTGTAAAAGCATCGATATGCTTCGATGCAGCTAACATTTTAGCAAAAACGTTCGATAGCAATTGATAGATAATTCGTAACTGGTACTCGTATTAAACCAAAAAATATTAGAACAGTAAAAATATCAATTGGTTTTAAATAATGACCCATAGGCTAATAACCACCAAGTATTTCTAAAGAAATAAGTGGTAATGATGAAAAATATAAACCCAAATTAATTCCACGTAAACGACTAGCACGAAGAATGCTTCCTAATTCATTCAAATGTCAATTATGTACACGTTCTTCTATTGGTTTTTTCCAGTTATACATTTTAACTATTTGACACCCATTAATCAGTTCATTTATTGCTAGAACACATTTATCCACACATGTCATAGTTTTCGTACGATACTGACTAAATTGTCGGTCAAATGCTAATTGTAAAGGTATGAGAAGAAGAAGTACATCATAACCAAATAATGTAGGTAATATTCCAATCGACCATCATATTAAACTAAATGCTATCAATGCCTGAAGTGGAGCTTTCCAAAGATAATGCATATATTGACAAAATTCTTCAAATTTACCTGGATCATTAGCAATTAAATTAATTATTTTTGCAGTTGTTGTAGACTGTTGTAAAGATGCTATATTAAATGATAATAAATGTTTATAAATAGCTGCTAATAATTTATTACGAACTCGCATCTTGAAGTTCAATATGTATAAGTGATGGAAAACGTGCAACAGGTTTGGGTGCAAAGCTTGAAGGAAAGTAAACGTCTTCTAATATTATTTCGATCAGTTTAATTTGTTTGAAAACTGAAATAAGAGATGGATTATCAATAAATTTCGGAGAAATGAGTAATACAGTGAACATTGTAAGATCGATCACATTTGGACATGCTCTAAGTTAGAAAATAAAACAATTTCGTCATTAGATTCCATTTCAATAGTAGAGACCAGAGGTCAAAATTGAATCGAGTATTCGACAATTCGACTCAGCTAAATCGAATAGAACCGAATTACACATTGAACAAAGTATGTTGAATCGAACTGAACCGAATCAAAACGAATTGATTGATAATAGTATCAAATGAATCGAGATGAATTAAATTTTCTTGATTTAATTATCAATAGCGTTCGAAGTCTTTTGTCGCCCCATCGAGTTTTCTATCACATTTACCTTAAGGATTTATCTCAATCTCTTCAAATACTTATAGTTTTACATCAGTCATTAAAAAGCTAGGGTCCGATGCTGAACACGGACATTATTTCATATATCGCCAATGAAGGATACTAACTTTTCTACATAATTCAAAGGTTGTAGATATCTTATCTATATCTTCTTTCTCTAGCTACTCAATATCGCATATATTTTTGGTAATTATCCCTAAGATCTAACGTAATTGTTAACCTTAAATCTGCATATAAAAAGTGGTCTATAAGTAGCTTTACGATAAAATAAGAAAAACATTTCCATTGTGTTAAGATTGCTTTGAAAGATAATCATTAGCTTCTACATAGTGAATTTTAATCTTTTATGGCATGTAAGAAAGTGCACGTAAAGTGATCAATAAATAACCTTCTGATTCAACTCATTTCTAAACTTTGATATATATGCGGCAGCTTTTTATTGTATATAAAAGTCTTTTTATCCTTATTTTGTTTATTGTAGGCATGCGAAATTAGAATTCGAAAGATTTTTATTCACCATGTTATATCTACTTTCACGAAGGCTGTAAAAGATTAAAATTGACTATGGAAGTTAATAATTATCCTTCAAAGCAATCTTTTTGAATGATGTTCTTATAGAAAAAAAAGCACTCTAAAGTCTCTTTTATCACTAAAAAAATTAATCTCATAGAATGTAACACAATAAAGATATTTTTATTATCTTATTCCAAAACTACTTACAGATCACTATGCAGATCTTAAAAGAAACATTTATGACACTTTTTTGCAACAAAATAAAACAAATCATTTTTTGACTTCAGGGTGATATTAGTAAAACTTCTAATATTTTTCATTCTCATAGAGATTCGAATCTGTCACATATCATAAACCAAACTAGTAAGAAGAAACTTGCCTTTAATCCTAGTCTTGACCTCCATTATTGAACAAATGGAAACCAGGATTGAGTCGAATTGGTTTAAGAAGCAGTTGAACTGAATCGAATTCTTTCTCAGAAAAATTAACACGCAAGGAATCGGACGAATCTATATCTTTGTCAACTCGAATCGAGCCGCATCATGATTTTTCCGGTTCGTTTCGACCCTTGCTAAAGACAAGATTTCGGTAGATTTTTCTAGTATCTTGTAAAAGATTTCATTCAAATTATTAAGAATAAGATACTTCTAGAAATATAAAGTATACTTACTGCAGAATCAATTGAGCATGTTTCCATCGATATGTATTAAACGATGACCCAAATTCTATTTGAACTATCGTAGGTAAATGAACAAAATTTGAAAGATAAATAATATCTTCTTGTGCATCATCATCACTTATTTGATGAAAATTAAGTAAAAGAATTATATTAAAAATAATACGAACAAACTCAGTGATTTGTATAAAAAGCAAATTATTCTGACTGAATAAATTTAAAAAAATAAACATATATTCTTCTTACCAATAGCCAAAAGACTATTGCACAATGATGAACAAACTATTGGCAATTCTAATCTGAGATATTTGATTTGTTGAAATAAAGGAGAAGAGCAAGTAATAGTTAATCTTTCAGATGTTATGTATATTCTTAAATCCGTTTCATTTACATAAAAAAGATAATGATCATCTATTTTTTCCGTTGTTGATCGTGTGTCAAAGTATCCACTAGGAATTAAAGGTATATATGTATGTATGTACGATTTGTGTTTATGATAATTCAATGTGTGTAGCATAACAAATTCGGCTAAAAAAAATGAAAAATTTAAATTTCGAACACTACAAAAGATTATTTGTCTAAAATATTTCTTACTCTCTTCTTTTACTTAAAACTTAGTTATCCAGAAAAATTTTGTTCTGTTGTAAGTCTTCATATTTAAAACTTTATTATCTTTTTTAACCTTTTCAATAAGTTTATTTATCAGCAGTTGAGGACTGAAGTTTCCATTGATCAATAATCATATGCCAATTAGAATATCTTCTAACAAGATATTTGAATGAATCAATAACAATATCCAAATCGATTGGTGGAAAATATTTATAAATTGATATATGAAATTCAGATTCCGATAAATAGAGAACATGAAGTTCTAATATTTCTTGCCATAAATAACCGCCGAGCAATTCAATAGGAAAGAAGTGTTTTGATGTGTATGGTCTAAATATAAAAAAAGAAATACTTAAGATTAGGCATACAACGCAATATATAAGCAATTAAATAATTATCCCACGCAACAAAAAGTATCAATTCGAGCGAGATCACTTGTGATAATTACAGGAAGATCATTTTCATTGATAGATGGTATTGTAATTGGAACACTAAAACAAA